GAGAGAGAGAGAGAGAGAGAGAGAGAGAGAGAGAGAGAGAGAGAGAGAGAGAGTCCAATTCAGGAAGTCGTGTCTCTGACATCAGTGGCAGGGCTGAGTTAGAGTGAAACCTCAAAAATGCAGGGCGTGAGCCAGCTTGAGGGGAGGGAAAACAGAGGGAGCTTTTCTTACCGAGTGCAAACAAGGCAGCCCAGAGTCGGAAACGAACTGCCCAGGTACACAAGGAAAAGAGAAGAGGGAGGAGTGTAGGGGGAGGGGGCGGGGGCAAAGGGGAGGAGATGGGGAGGAGGCAGAGGGAGGAAGGACTATGAGTTAATCTGACAGTCTAAAACCAGAAAGAACAATTTCTCACCATTTCCTTTAGATGCTTAAAACATCTCCACTTGGGAGGGGGTAAAGAGAGAAAAAGAGAAAGAAAAGAAAAGAAACCCTGGACTTCCTTCCAAAACTTTGAGCAGTGGTGACGCAGCTGGGCTTGAGATCTTCTGAGATCCTTGAGGGACCCTAAGAGAGCCGTCTGGCGAACTTGGAGGTGAGTTTTGAAGGGCTAGCGATGTTACCTTATTTTATTTTCCGTGAACTTTCCAAACGATACGAGGTCACTGAGACGAGAAGGGTCTCCAAAATATTTCATACCTTTGAGGAATGAAGGTGAGTCCTCTAACAAGTGGGTTATAATGACTTTGAAATTTCCCTGCCTCTCCTCACCCACCCGTCCACCCACCCCACTCCCCGGACCAAAACACACACACACACACACACACACACACACACACACACTTTTATTCTCCCCTTCAGTGGGTTCTGAATCTGTCGTTCTTCATGTCAACATCTAAGCTAGCTCTGCCTCCCAGCGCAAGTCACGTGGCTCCTCTGCGCCTCAGTTTCTTCACCTGTAAAAGTGAAGGTGAGCTAGAGGATCACCAAGGTCCCTTCTAGCGCTGACATTCTAAACTTCTCTGGGGAAGGCGCACATCAGATACTTAGGGGATGAAGATGCAGAATTCTCCTAACTCCAAACGACAATAGGTTCGTTTCTCGGCCCCCCCTCCCCACACACACACCCCACCCCCCAGGCTCTCAAGGAAACAGATGGGGATTCTGTTTGCTTTGGAATTCAAGTTCTGAAGCCCTCCACAAAGTGCCATTGGCTTAGATATCCTGAATGCACTGTGGGTGAAACAAATTTTGCCCTAGAACTAATAGACTTGCTGAAGCAGGAAAGTAGCCAAAAGATAGAAGAAAATAAACAGGGGTTTTCTTTTCTTTGCCCCATACCACTAAGGGGATACACTGGGACAGAGATTCTTTCCCAACTTCTCTGAGCTTTGGGAACATCCTCTGTTTCCTTCACCCCCTTCCTCGCAAACCTTCATTGGTGGGGGTGGGAACCAATGAATGGAGCCAGGACCTACCTGCATTAGCACAAAGCACAGAGCATCATGTGAAATGGTGTCACAGAGTCTGTAATGACCATGATGAGTATGCTAGTTAGTGCAAATAATCCTCCTGTTTTGCAGATAGAGAAACCGAAACAGAGACAGACACTTGGCCTAATTTTGCAGTGCAAATTGGCAGAAAACTGAATCCTAGTACTGTGGCTATTATTTTATTGAATGAAAGGGGTCAAGGGAGGAGAAGAGAGGGGCACCCTAGACTCTTAGAGGCGTTATCTCCCTCTCCAAAGTTGCTGCTTCTCATTCATTGGGATAAACAGCACAATTATCTGAGCATTAGAAAAGTTAACTGTTTTTAAGCCAAATCATCTTTTGAAGGGATAAAAGACAGGATGGGGCTTGGGTTGCTTTAATTAATACTTTAATGAAACCTATTAATGACATCTTTTTATTAATGGTCTCTAGGTCACACACACACACCCATACACACACACACACACACACACACACACACACACACACCATGAATTTACATAGGGTTCTACCTTCCTTGTGACAACAGCCTCTTAGGCTATATTTAACATGACTTAAGGGGCAGCTAGGTAGCACAGTGGATCAAGTGCCAGGCCTGGAATCAGGAAAACTCATCTCCCTGAGTTCCAATCTGGCCTCAGACACTTACTAGCTATGTGATCCTGGGCAAGTCACTTAACCCTGTTTGCCTCAGTTTCCTCATCTCTGAAATGGGCTGAAGAAGGAAATGGCAAACCAGTCCAGTATCTTTGCCAAGAAAACCCCAAACGGGGTCACAAAGAGTTGGACACAACTGAAAACAACAGAACAACCACATGAGTTAATTCAGTAAATATGTTTCTCACCCTCTTCATCCAGCCTTTTACCAGGAAAGCAATAAAAATCTGGTCAATGAAGGAGGCTCTTATTAAACCTAATTGACGATTTCTTCCCAGAAACTTTGGACTCCTAGCTCCCAAATTAAAAAGTTGGTAAAGGCTCTCTTCCTTATATGAGTAACAAAATAAATTGATATATCTTCTGTAGGGCATTTAGCTTGTGAAACTAAAATAAGGAGAATTTTTGCCCTTTCCCCTCATAAACTAAATTCAAGAAAGTAATTAGCCTTAGAAAGATGAATCACTGATCTCAGGCAAGTGAATACCGCTGGCAAATTTAGAGGGTTTAGCACATATGCCAAAAGTCTATAAAATAATTTTTATTAAACTTTAGGGTGATGTGATAACATTCTGTCATCTGGGTGACTTAGAAGATTCTCCAATCAGTGACAATGTCTTGTCATTTTTACTTCATAATATCTCCTCCATATATGTCCCCTTCTCTTCACCCACACAACCACCATCCTCACCTCAATAACCTCTAAATTTGTCTCTCTAGCTCATCTTTCTGAATTTCAACCAATCCTCCTAACAGCTGCCAAAGCGATTTGCCTAAAGGGTAATTCTGACCACGTCATTCCCCTACTCAATAAGTTCCACCTCCTATTCCCTCTAGAATTGCAAATAAAATCCTCTGTTTGACATTGGAAATATTTTACAACCTTCTGCCCATTCTATCTTTTAATCTTAATGCATATTACTCCCTACCATGTACTCTACAGTCTGCCTAAACAGTCTTCTTCCCACGTGACAATCCATCTGTCTTCTCTAGGCCTTTGCTCAAGTAAATTTGCTCCATGCCTGGAATGCCCTCCCGCATCTCTGCTTCTTAGAATCCCTGGTCTTTGTTGTTGCTGTTGTTGTTTGTACTTACTTTTAAAAGAGGACCAGAACATCAGGAAGGTGATGCCATGACTTGCAAGTGAACTGGATTTAAGTGAGTGAGGACTGTGCAAAGTCACCAGCCTCACTTTCTCCTCTGGAGCCATCTGGGTCCAGTGGCGAGATATAGATCAGGATGACTGGAGATGGTGCCACCTCTGGTCTTCTAGACTCACTTCAAGTAGTACCTTTTGCATGAGGACATTGCTGGTCTCCTTTACCCACCCACCCCTAGCTTCTAATGTTGTTCGATCATTTCAGTCCTGTCTGACTCTTCCTGACCCTATATGGGGTTTTCTTGGCAAAGATACTGGAATGGTTTGCCATTTCCTTCTCCAGCTCATTTTACATATGAGGGACCTGAGGCAAACAGGATTAAGTGACTTGCCCAGGGTCACACAGCTAGTAGTGTCTGAGATCAGATTTGAACTCAGGTCTCCCTGACTGCAGGCCCAGTGCTTTATCCACTGTGCCACCTAGCTGCTATTGCTTGCTCCCAAAGTTAACTCATATCTATTTTGTATGCATTTGGTGGTCAAAAAAAAAAAGCCTCTGTTTGCCTCAGTTTCCTCATCTGTAAAATAGGAATAATAATTCCTCCCACAGTTATTGCAAGAATCAAATGAGACAATATTTGTAAAGTGCTTAGTATAGTGCATGGCATGTAGTAGGTATTATATAAATGTCAGAATTACTTAAGGGGTTCCTAACCTGGGATCTATGAAAACTTGGTTTTTAAAAATATGTTTTGGTAATTGAATTTCAATATAATTAATTTCCTTTGTCATCCTATGTATTTCATTTTAATACATTTAAAAACAGTGTTCTGAAAAGGGGTCTGTAGGTTTCACCAGACTGCCAATGAGGCCCATCACACATTAAAAAAGTTAAGATTCCTTTATCTAAACTGATGAAGTCCATTACCCAAGACGCTAGAAGTGGGTCTCAGCTGAAGAGGAACCTCATGGAGGCTTAGAAATTATGAAATACACCTGTTGATGTCAGAAATCAATAAATACTTGAGTAAACTAATAAAACACACTAGGACTTCTATCCCTTACTCAATACAACTATGTTGTTAGTTAACAGTGATCCAGGTAGAGAATCCTGATTTTATTGCAAGAAGAAAACTGACCTTGCTCAAGCAATACTCAGACCCTGAAGGGTTAACTCTTCAGAGGGAATTGCTAGCTTATAAATTAACCTGAAATCAATAAGATTATTAAATTCCGTTCAATTAAAAATATTTATTAAGTACCTATTGGGGCAAGGATAAAATGTTGGGCACTGAGATGAAAAAACGGCATTGGCCCTAAGACCTTAAGGGACTCAGAGGAAGCAGCATCTTAAATCCTTTAGTATGCATCTCTGATGGTTTAAAATATATTTTAAATCACCAAGAATAGGAGTACATCTTTATACTCCCCCTATTCTAATAGAAGGATGCCCCTTGAAAACAGAATCTGTTTTGTCTTTGTCTCCTGGTGCCTAGCACCATGCCTTGTACATAGTAGGCATTTAATAAATGCTTATTGGATAGAATTGGACAGAGGAGCCCCTTTCTCTCACATCCAATGAGTATTTCTTTTTCATTCACTCTTCCCTGACCTTTTCAATAAAACAACCGGACCCAAAAGAAGCTAATACAAGCTTTGGATATTTGGTGACTTTGGAGCCCCCCCGGCAGGGTTTTGGTCTATCTCCCCACCACCTTTACCTCTTATAGCAACATGTAGAAGTTCCCCTAGCCCAAACTCAGATGCCTGGCATACTGATTCTTCTGAGTCAGGCTGGGATTTCCCAGCATCCAATTGGTACCCCATTCTGGTCACATCTCAGTGATTTCCAGCATGAGGCAAATCTGTGACATCTGCCCAGGAAGGAGACAAGAAATTAAAAAAAAAATCAATGAAGCTTTCTAGCCTAGTGAAGGACCTTTGGCCAACTTATCCTTACATAGGAAAAAAATGAAAAGATGCTCAATATAAAATTCTACTACATTGAAGAGGTCAGCCTAGTGGAAAGAGTACTGAACAAAGATTCAGAAGTCAGGAGTTCCCACCCTGGCTAAGTCACTTCCCATCTCTAGGACTCAGTTTCTCATTCTGAAATAAAAGATGAGGCAGCTGAATTGGATGACCCCTCAGGACCCTTGCAACTCTCAGGTTCTATGAGGCTAGTATCTAAAACATGAGTGACGCTCAAGAAGAAACCTGCTGAGATACATGTAATACAATCACCAAATCTCTTTCCTTAACCCTTACCCTTAAACTGTTCTCCAAGCAGGATTCCCATAGAACCCTAAGAAAAAGAAGGTAGCTTAATTGAGTGAAGATTTTTTGCTGCTTTGTCATTTCTGTCATGAAAACTCCTTGTTTCATACACACATACACACCCTAGAGATGGCTCAATGTGTACTAGAAACCAGGGAAACTGTCAGGAGGACCCGTCAAATACTGATACATACCTTCCCTGACCAACCCAAAAGGCATCAGGCGAATAATAGAAATTCATAATGTTCCTCCAAGGCACCATGAGGGAGATGAAGACTGTGAAAAATAGGGGTTTTTTTTCCCCACCATTTTAGGCAAAGGAAGAAATGGACGAGGGACATTCTTTGAAGGACAGTCCCCAGGACTGCGGCCCCGCTTCACTTTTCTTTCTTTCCCAGCTATATCATGTTGGCCTATTAAAATACAACACCAGTGTGGGAGTAAGTGGGGCTTAGTATGGAAAGAATAGCCTGATCTCCAGAATGAACCACACACAAACAAGAGATTCCTTTCTTGAGGGCCAACTCCCAAAGGACCACAGAGACACTGCACAGCCCCAGTCCAACCGAGGCTCCCACGATTGGGCAAGCTGCTTTGCGGTTAGTCGGGAAGCAAAAGGAGAGAAAGCATCATTGCTGATCAGCACAAAACTGAAAAGAAACTTGGGAGTCCCGTCCTTTACTATTGATAACCTTCCAGGGTTTCTTCAGTGGACAGACCTGAGCTTTAGGAACTTCCAGCCCATTCAGCTCAGACCTAATTCAGGTTGGAAACCACATGTACTTAGGGAGGCACTTCTTGTATGGAAAAGAACACAGCACCTAGAGTCAAGAGACCTGATGGAATTCTATGCCTGACGCCTGCTAAATGTGTGATAGTGGTCCAGTCACTTAAGATCTCTTGAGTCTCATCCTCTGTAAAATGGGCGTAGGATTTAGATCGAGAAAAGAGATTACTATTCAATAAATCAACAAGTGTTTATTAAGGAAACTGTACCTTGTTAGGGGCAGGAGAATAGAAGCAAGAAGTGTAGCATATGCCTGCCTGGTCCATTGTTTTTGTTCAGTCATTTCAGTCATGACCCCATTTGGGGTTTTCTTGGCAAAGATACTGGAGTAGTTTGCCATTTTCTTCTCCAGTTCATTTTACAGATGAAGAAACTGAGGCAAACAGGGTTAAGTGACTTGCCCAGGGTCACACAGCTAGTAAGTGTCTGAGGTCAGATTTGAACTCAGGTCTTCCCTTCTCCAGATCCAGAGTTCTATCCATTGCACCACCTAGGTGCTGTCATAACTATCTGGCCTATAGTACGTGCTTAATAAATGTATGGTGAGTGACTGACTTTCATTCCCAGTACAGGGTGTTTTTGAAGACTTGTGCTTTGATAGTTTAAAACCACACTGAGACTTTTGGGATGCCTTATATTAATGATCATGGGGTTGAATCTTAGAGTAGATTTAGAGCTGGAAGGGAGTCATCTTCATTTTACAGATGAATAAGCTGAAGCACAAGGCCACACAGAAAGTGTCAACCCTTCCAGTTTTTGGAAGAGGGAACTGAGGGCTTCGCATGGTGCCCAGCACACAGCAAGGGCTTAATAAATGCTTGTTGCTTGCTTACTTGCTTGTCAGATTGTCAGATGAGCATTCTTTGTGTAGTTTCCATAGTATTCTATGCCTTCTGGGTTGGTATTTCTGAATCCCAAAGCTTTTCAATCGCGCAGAAGTGTCTAAACCTAAGTAGCCATGACCCAGTGCCTCGTCAACTATGTGTCACCAGAAAAGTGGGTTACTGTAAAGATTAAGTGACCTGCCCAAGGTTATACAGGCATTAAGAGCAAAAATTAAGGAGTTAACGTATGTAAAGGATTTCTTTTTGTTGTTGTTGACTCATTTCAGTCATGTCTGACTCTTTGTGACTGCCTTTGAGGTTTTCTTGGCAGAGATTCTGGAGTGGTTTGCCGTTTCCGTCTCCAGCTCATTTTACAGATGTGAGGCAAACAAAGTTAAATGACTTGCCCAGGGTCACACAACTAGTAAATGTCCAAGGCCAGATTAGAACTCAAATCATCCTGATTTCAAGCCCTTAAACGTTAAAGATATATACATTCTAGTAATGGTGATGATTGATGATGATATAAATATCAAAGGACAGAGACTGGAATCTTGGCCATTTGACCCCAAATCCAATGTCCTATCTACTACACAAAACACCAAAGCACTATACAATTGTGAGGTGGGGGAGGAAAGGGAGGGAGGTAAAGGAGGAATAATAATAAATTCTCATATTGCTGAAGATACTTAATGCTCTTCATTTTTTCCAGAAGGAAAAGAACAGACATCTTAAGAGGGGAAAAGGAGAAGCTGAGTGTTTGGTGGTGGAAAGAAGGAAATAACAGAGGCTGAAGGAATTTCTTTACTTGCTGGCATTAACTGAACAGAGGGCAATATAGCATATAGGCCTTCTAGTCAAAATGGCCTTGCATTTTTGAAAGAGAATTGTTACATTGTGCATAAATATTCTGTTTAAGGTTCACTGGGTTTTAGTTTCTTTAGTCTGATGAATAATAATAATGGCCATTATAATTGAGTAGTCAATACATGTTTACCTTTAAAAAAAAATGGACCAGAACAGACCCATGATTTCATTAACACAGTTTCTTCCTCTGGGGGTTCCCTATCTACCAATATAGTCCTGTACCTTCTTCGATATTTATAATCTTAGTGAGATGCTTAGACCACAGAGAAGTTAAGGGACTTGCCCAGGGTCACACAGTCAGTATATGCCGGAGGCAGGATTTGAACCCAAGTCTTGACTGCAAATCTATCTCTATCCACTAAGCCACACATCAACAGCATTCTATAAAGCACTTATCCTTACATAAATGAGTTACTACTCTTGCTATTACGGAAGACGCTATGAAGGCTACAAAGATGGATAATACAGGCGGCTCAGTGGATAGAGCACTAGACTTGGAGTCAGGAACACCCGAGTTCCAATTCTGCCTCAGAGACTTAATAGCTGTGTGACCCTGGGCAAGTCACTTCTTCATCTCTGCCTGCCTCAGATTTCTCCTCTGCAAAATGGGGATAATAATAGCCCCTACCTCCCAGGGTGGTTGTGAATTCTAAATAAAATAACATAGGTAAAAGACTTTGTAAACCTTAAAGTGTTGCATAAATACTAGCTATGATGATGATGATAAAGATATGGTCCTTTTCCCCTTCCCCAAGCTTACAAACACAGATTGATAACAATAATAATAATAATAATTCACACTTATATAATACTTTAAGTTTTATGAGGCACTTTCTTCACAACAGCCTCATCCAATAGAATGAAAATATTATCCCCATTTCACAGAAAAAAAAAAACCTAAGACTCAGGGAGGTTATATAATATAACAAAATCATTATTATAGTATACTAATAGCAATTACTTATATAGTGCCTGCTATGTGCCAGGTTCTGTGCTAAGTACTTTACAAATATTATTTCATTTGATCCTCACAGCAACCTTGGGAGATAGGTGCTGTTATTATCCCCATTTTACAGTTGAGGAAACTGAGGCAAACAGAGGTTAAGTGACTTGCCCAAGGTCATGCAGCTAATAAGTGTTTGAAGCCAGAAGTCAAACAACTAGTAAATGTCATGAGGTTTCAAAGATGATCCAAACCCTGGTTTCTGCTGCCTCTAAGAATTTTCCACTATATCATGCTCGAGATTGACAGGCTATTCAAAATGATCAGAGGAGTGGACAAGCCAGGGAAGAGAACCCAGCCTCCCTGATTCCTGACTTTGTGACCTCATCCATTGATCAATCTTCCTTTCAGGTTTTTTTCTTCCCTGGCTGCCTCCTCAACCTTCTCACCCTGACCTACATTACTGTCTGCCATCTGCCTGCTGGACCTCAGAGGACAGAAGTCATCAGAGGAGCCTGGTGGCTTAGATTAAAATGTCCGGGTTCATTCATGACCCAACCATTTCAAAATGAAACCTATGGAGTGAAAGGTGAGTTTCTTCATATACACCTAGACTGTAATCCCTCCTGAGCCTCTCCTTTGTTGCCTGGCTAGAAACTCCAATCCAACCCTTTGGGGCACTGGGATATTACCCAGGGTCATGGCTGATTCAGGGGGGAAAGGAATAAAGAAAGCAATAAAGAGACTAGTGGTTCTGAATGCTGGCAGGCTAGCTGATTTCCAACTGTATTTCTAGGTAGACCATCATTACAGGAAGCCATCAATCTTTCCAAGCCAGGAGCAGGATTTTCCTATAAAATGGGTACAAGCATGCTTGTATTTCCTGCCTCGGATAGTTATTTTGAGGAAAGAACTTTTTCAGTGAATTATTGGAATGAATGGCCCAAAACAATCAGTGGAGAGAATTTCTCATTTTCCAAACCTGAGTCAGGAGAAGGCAGCAGACGCTGCCCTTCTCTCCAGAGCTGTCTGAGAGCTGGTCAAAGGAGACGCTGAATCATTCCTTGTGTGTCAGTGGGCCGCGATATGCAGACGAGGTCAGATGGACCTGACAAATATTTTCAAGGAACAGGATTTCTGGAACTTAAAAATCCTGATTCCAGGAGAGAGGGGGGAAAGAGGAAATCTCATCCTTCCAGAAAACATGAGAAAATTATCAAACCAGATTTAATTTCCAGTTAATAGCCATGTTATTCTCAATGAACTGACCTTCTATACCTTTCCCTAAAGTCTGACATCAATCTTCAAGAAGCCATGGGCTTTCCCAGAATAATAATAGTAATAAAGCTAGCATTTTTATAGTGCTTTATTTGCAAATTACCATATGTATATATATATATATTTGTATGTGCATGCACATGTACATGTATCATCTCTAGCAAGATAATTTGATTAATGATTAGGGCTTGAGGTGGGGACAAGTATAAAAAGGGGAGGACAAGAAGAAGTGAAATGGTTATTTTTTTCCTCTCTACCTTCAGGGCCCTTCCCAGAATATGAAAGGGGAAAATGAAAAGAAACAGATTAAGTGTTAGGATTGGAACAAGAAAGACCCATGTTCAAATCCTACCTCTGGCACTTATTTTAGGATGGTGGGCAAGTCACTTAACTAAAGTGAACTTCAGTTTTCTTATCTATGAAATGAGAATCATAATACTTGGAGTTGCTGCCTCACGAGGTTATGGGGAGACTTAAATGAAATAATGGTGTCCCCGAAATCTGGTGTGGTTTTTAAGCTACTAACACTTAAAGCTTTATAAGATTTTGGGGACACCCTGCACAAATTGATTTGCAAACCTTGAAGCGGTATCTAAAAATCATCAGATAATACCATTGGAATCTGGAATGATTTTCACATGCTCAGACTCAAAAGATCATAGAATTTTAGCATTGGAAGGGACCTTAAAAGAGAATAGCACTAAGGAGGCATCCCATTTCAAAGAACTTGTCCTAACTCACCTCAGGATGGAAACCTAGAGGCCTCTTAGCGTACAGTTGTGCAGTGTTTGGGGCAGGTGTGAGAAACAACAGAGCTTGATAAGTCAAGGAAAGTACTGACATCTTCATGGCTTTGAGTTCTGGACCTAAGTCTTCTAAAGACTACATTCTGGATCAGTTATTTACCTCCTGTTTATTAGGTTTGGCTATTAGGTTCTTCTGCAAAAGGAACCAAGAAAGTTATTTTTAAAAACTTTTTAAAATTTTTTTTAAAAGCCTTCTGAGAGGCCTAACACTTACTCTGTCGCTGACCTAATCAATACCAAAATGTGCCACCAGGGCTCTAGTTGCAAGCTCACACCTGCAAACCTCAGCCTCCCTTCCCCCCACCCACACAGAGAGAGCAGAAAACAAACAGTTTGGGTTCTTCCTGCTTGTTGCTACCAATGTTTCCGACCTCTCAAACTCTGGCCCTCACCCGCTCAAACTTTTCTAATCTATCTAATCCTTCTAGTTGACCTGTGATAGCCACCTGATCCTTCTAGCTCAGTCTCTCCAGATTCAACCCACTGACTAATCTGCAATACTCTCCAGGCCCTTTCTGCCAGGCTGCTCTCCTAGTCTTTGGGCTAACACTGGGCCAGCACTCCCCTGCTGCAAGCTGTGCCTCAGTGTGACTGTCAGGGCAGCACTTGAACTCAGGACTTCCTGACTCAGGGTGGTTCTCTATCCACTACTACACACTGCCTGTTTTCCTTATTGGACGCTTTCTTTTTAAGTCAAGGAATTATTGATTTAGTATTAGAAGGGATTTTAGAGATCTCTAGCCTGACTCCATTTTACACACAGGAAAACTGAAACTTTGAGTGGTTAAGGCCCAGCACATAGTAGATGCTTAATAAATATTTGTTTCCTTCCTTCCTCCCTCCCTCCCTTCCTCTCTAGTTTCTTTCCTTCCTTCCTTTCTTCCTTCCTTCTTCCTTCTCTTCTTTCCTTCCTCCCTTCCTCCCTCTCTCTCTTCCTTTTTTCCTTCCTCCCATCTTTCTTTCCTCCATTCCTTCCTCCCCCTCCTTCCCTTCCTTCTTCCCATCTTCCCCCCTCTTACTTCCTCCCATCCTCCTCTCTTCCTTCTTCCCTCCCTCCCCCTTCCTTCCTCCCTCCCTCTCTTCCTTCCTTCCTTCACTCCCCAAGTCACACAGGTAGTAATTAGCAGGAGGATATTGACTCAAGTCCTCTGACTCCAAAGCCAGCCTTCTTTCCACTACTCCATGTTGCCCCCCCCCATAACTCCAGTAAGATGTTAGCCACCTCTGTGTAAGGGCAAAGCAGGTGGGCTTGCCTGCATACACCTGTATACTTGAAATACCATAACTGGCTTCCAGCTTCTGACCCTTAGTAACTTGTGAGGCTGTGTTACACAGTAGAAGTACTAATCTTATGGATGAGCACAATGAAAAAACAAATCTGACCAGTCCACCCCACCCATCATGACTTTGATCATCCATTCCAAGGGTCATGGCCCATTCCCTCTGTGCTGAGTCAGTCAATCAGTCAATAAACATTTACGAAGAGCCTCCTAGGTGCCAGGCACTGTGCTAAGCACTGGGGATACAAATTCCATGCCCACAAGGGGCTTACAATCTAATGGGGGAAGATAACCCATAAAAGGAAGCTAAGAGGCTTGGGGAGAGAGAAAGAGGAGGAGAAGTTATGGACTCAGTGGGCACAATGGCAAAATCATTCAGAGAAGTCCCAAAGCATTACAACTAGGTGAGAAATGAGGAGACATCTGAGCTGAGCTCTCTCCTTCAATGGAGATCTCTTTAACTGGAAATTTGGAGTTCATGGTTGTACCCTCCAACCAGACAGATGATGAGATAGAGTACCAAGGCTGATAAAATTTTAGGATGATCAGGTTCTCCCTTTAATGAGCTTCCTGGGGCATGTTGGGGAAGTCAGTCATAGAGGTCTCAAAGTAGAGCAACCAGGTGAGAAAGGAAGAGATGGCTTGTAGAAATCCCTACTGGCACTGCAAAACTCCACCATCAGCTCCACCATGTTGGAGTCAGCCATCAAACACATTTCCCAGCAATTTGGTTTGGTAAGAGGTGGGAAAGGGGGAGAGGGAGAGATTGGGAATGAGATCAAATTTTCACTTTAACTGCTTTCATCCAAACCACAGCCTCAAGTAAATTCCTACGATTGTGAAGGGCTCTTCATTGGAATGCAGCAGAGATTAGAACAGCTGTACTCTGGGAAAAGGAAGGCTGAGGGATGAGGTTGTGTAATGTGTTTGAATGTTGCTAAGACAACTGTAAATCTAGTCTACTTAGTAACAGTGTGAGATTGGAAGGCTTGGAATTTCAAGACTGGTCTGGGTCAATTTCTCTTTCTCTAGCCAGCCATGGCTATTTAAACGTCCTAGCACTATCCCTATAAAGCAACAGGACCCCCAATCCTTCATTCTTTTAGTATCAATTGTATAGGTGATCTAAGCTTGTGAAAGGGAGAAAAGAAAAAAGTAGTCTTCTTGATGGAAGAATCCTTTCCTTTATAAAGAAAGAAACATTTCTTTAATGAAATTTTCTAGCAATGACAGTTGGCTAGTGAGACACCAGGTACCATGTACATAAACGTATCACTTAGTCTGGGGGTTGCTTGTTGATGGAGAATTAACAGCGGAAATGATGTAGCTTCAAAATAACTAAAATTGTAGGCATGTTTCTTCTCACAGCCAATCAGGGTTTTATGTTGTGGTGATGTATGTCTTGTAAGGTGATAATATCCTTCAAGTTTTCTGCCAGGGAGACAGTCACCCATATTTACTCTAGATGGACAGAATCCAAAAGCTGGGAGGCACCTCTGTGGTCATTGATTCCAACCAGTACCTGAGCAAGAATCCCTCAAATAACATTAACAGTCTCTGCTTAAAGACTTCCAATAATGGTGGACCCAATTCCTCCTGTGGCAGCCCACTCCACCTTTGACTAGCTCTAATTGTCTGGAAGTTTTCTTTTCTTTATGCCAAGCTGAAATCTGACTCTATACAATCCCCATCCATTCATTGCTCCTAGTCTGTCCATGGAAGAAACTAAAACAAGACTAATGCTTAGTCCAAATGACCACCATTAAAAAAAAAAAAAAAAACTTGAATACAACTATCATGTTTTCCCCCTCCCTCCTCAGAGCCTTCTCTTCTTCAAGTTATATATCCTTAGTTCCTTCCTCCAGCTCTCATAAGACATGCTTTTTGATCCTCTCACCATCTTGGTCACTTTCTTCCATACACACCATAGCTTGTCTTTCCTAAAATGTGTTGCCCAGAATTGAAAAAGGGGTGGTCTGGCCAGGGCAGAATGGAGCAGAAATATCACCTTCCTTTTTTTTTTTTTTTTTTTGACACCATGTCTCTCAATACAGCCAAGGATGGCATTGGCTTCTATGGCCACCAGGTCACAATATTAACTCAAGATGAGATCATCCTTAAGCCAAAATCTCCCTCACTCTATGCTCTATTTTTCATCAATGGTACCCCCAGGCTATCCCACCACGACCATAACTCATTCGGGAGAAAATGTGGTACTTCATTCC